ATAAATGATTATATGTTGGTAGTAGTTTTAGCCCGGGGGAAAGGGGTGTTATGTCCCGAGCCTTGCAAACGGCTCGGGCGTTTGCAGGCAGTCCCGGGCAGGTGCAAAGCTGCCCGGGACCAGACAGGCTGTCGCCAGCGCCGTGCGCATGCGCGGGTGCTGGCGCGGGAAAAGTATCGCATTTACCCGGGAAATGTCTATATAAGAAGTTGGGAGGTTTTGGGAGCTGCTGAAGCCATCTACTTGTAAGCTGAACGCAGAATAAAGAAAACTGAGAACTTCAACTGCTTCTCGTGTCTGCTTCCCGCCACGGACTCAACAAAATCATTCTGAAAATGGGACAAAGCGCCCCTGCTATCAGGAGGAAACTCCAAAAATTAGATGTCCCAACTGCCCAAAAAAGCCCTGGGACTGCATGTCAACAATTGTGTATTCGGAGCATAATGCTGTAACAAGCTATGCTTAACTTGATAGATAAGGAAATGTGTATTCAGATGAAGAAAAATCTTTAGCTATGGAGAAACTATTAGCATGAGAAAGTACATTAGCTATAAAAGGGGGAAAATTGATTAGTGTGTTTGTGCCTTTTCTCCTCTGTCTCGCTGTGTCGGGGACAAGAGATTAGGAACACCCAGCTTTGCCTTTAATCAAAGAATAAAGCTGTTTCTTTTGCAGTAGCCTCGTGTTCAGAGTCTCATTGGCATTAGTTTAGATTCTGAGCTGAAAAACCTTATATCTTTATAAACTGCCATCATTTATATTAACACAATTTACTACACTCTCTCAAGATCTTTAACCTTAGAGGGGAAAAACCATTTTTTTAAAAACATCCATTTAAAAACTCCTGACTTTTATTTAAAAATATTTCTAATCATTCATACTTTGAAATTTACTTCAGTAATGTAATGTTTGAATGGAAACTACTCAAACATTGTATATAAAAGAAGAAAACATTTTCAAACCCACATCCAATTCTGATCTTTAAAATTAATGCTTAATGTTAGAATTATTAAGCCACATGTTGCTTAATTTACATCTGATTATGTATTTTTGTACATATATAAAACATGGCACTTCTAGTATCATTTCTTGAAGATACCCATGGAACAGAATTTCTCATCAAATTCCATCAAGAACTTAATTTCTATCCTCACCAATAAAATTAGCGTTGACCTATAGACGGAATAAGCCCACTTCTTTGATGCTACAGTAAAACAATGGACCCACATAAACACTATATCATCCAGGAAACATACAGATTGTGATGTATACCTATAGTCTTCCAATCTCCACCCAGAACACATTACCAAATGTATTGTCTATAGTCAGGCAATAATAACAGCAGTTCAAACTTTTACTTGAAAGAGATGCTAATAAGATAAATAGGTCAGAATGTGCAAGTTTCACATTAGGACTCAAAACAACAATAAAATAATGTATCACAGCATTTTAACTACCCAGGACATTCCATTACAGATTTCATAATAGCTGTTTCAGAACAAAAAAGTTCACCAGCACAATTGAGCAACAGACTGTTGGTATCAAAGGTTTGTTTCAGGTTTTAGATTTCACACTACCTCAGAAATGGATTTTTTAACACATTGTTAATTATAAAATACTTATAATCTATCCCATATATGTCCTCCGTGTGCAAAACCACCTGTCTTCCTCCATTCTTCCTTACCATCCCAATTTCAATTTTATGTTTTATGCATCTGATCAAGTGAACGGTAATTCACAAAATGCCTTTTAATAGTATTTGTTAGCCTGAAAATGTGCTACCAGATTCATTCTGATGTTCAGTTTAGGGAGACATTCTCAATAAACATGTATTCAACTTCTAGTACAAAACAGGGTCTGCCCAGATCCAGCCAATGGAAAAAAAAAAAAAAAAAACCTCACAGAGCAGTTGAAAGGGTCTAGAAACAATACAGCAAAACAGAAGGCTATTGATAGCCTTAAAAACTGAAAGAACAGGAAAAAAATACTCTCTTTTTTAAGCATATGAAAGATAAGTATAATCTTTGACAAAGATAGGAAATAGGGACCATGCTGGACTAAAGACTACTGAAAAAATAGTGTGCAAACTGATGAGCAGCCTAGAATCTGGAGTTCAGTGATCTTAAAGCTGTCTCTTGATACGAAGTAGACTAGAGTATAAACTATATCTCATCCTTTATATTTCTGTACAATTTATTTTCCCTACTATTTAAGTAGATACAAATACAGATAGCAAAGATGGACAAGACTTTGTGAATGGAGGCTAGAAATTTCTTTCTAGCTTATCGGGAAAATGATTTCAATATCTTTGTCAACAGCCTATATACCAAACAGTTTTCTTTTGTTACTCAAGTGAAACTTAAAACCTGTGCTATAAACAAGTACAATGACAAACTGAGTGGGTAGATGGTAGTTGCAATGTGATTAAAATTTCTAGCAATAAGTAAAAGTACTTCAACATAGCAGTCCTTCTTTTGTTAGTGGCCAGAATAGCTTATTAATCACATTAACATGACTGTGTTATATCAATAAAAAGGCTCCAGAAAAATACAGTGGTCAATGATCCCAATACCACTGAGAGATTTAACAGAACTAGGAAGAAATCTTCCATAAAAGCAATGTAATTTCAGTTCCATACCCAAGCTTGGTACCTAATGAAACAGGAACTAGATAACTGTTTCATCTAGGATTATTTTATAACTGCAGCTGCACCACCCCAAAGTGAAAGTTGGAGACTGGACAGAAGTTATCCAATACATTTTGAATGAGTAGTAGCTTCAAACAAACTTTACTTTTCAGTAACCTGTCTGCAGATGCATCCCTCAGCCGCTTAAAGAACTAAGATGGTCATAGGGCCAAGGGGAAGAACAGAGGTTACTGCCAAAAACCCACATCCTTGGAGTCTACAGCATTTTAAAAAATCCCAGATAATATTGCACAAATCCATATCAATTACCCCATTTGCCCTTGTCAAAGTGGAGTCTGGATCAAAACCATACAAAAGTAAAATGTCAGTAAAATGTCTTGCAAACTTGTCACAAAACTATGAAGAATTTTTTCCATCTATCTTTTCCCACCTACCATCTTAACAGTGCAGTTGGACATCATTATGAAGGTGCAATAAAAGTGAAATGCTGGCACTTTGCCATCTTTATTGCTATATGTATTCAGTAATACTAAATCCACATTTTCTGCCACCATCACTTAAAGCATTGCTTCTGATGCTTCATATCCCAGATTTCCTCAGTAAACCACGAAACCCCAACACTGTAAAATACAGGAGGTTTGCTTCTAATTTCCGGCAAAAACTGCCCAATAGCAAACAATGGGTGTTTGCTATGGAGCATTCACTTAACAATCACAGCATTTGCTTAACAACTGCTGCAGAAAAGATAATAAAAACAGGTCTGGTCACCTCTTTGCCAGGCTCAATTATGAGCTTAAGTCAAGAATTATTGTACTTTATTTGATCAATGATCAACATATGAAAATATAACACAAAAGTAAAATCCAATACTTAGATGAAATAAAATACTAGCATAAAAAGATAAAACATAATATAGTTACTATATGTCCAAGTATAAATCTGAAATATTACTGTCAACAAAGGAAAAATACATATCACCTAAAACAAGATCACTAATATATTAAACCTGAAGTGATGAATAAAACTGAAGTGGTTATTTCTGTGAGCAGTTATGACTTCATCATAGCAACACAGAATTTGGCTACTACATAAATGAATCTTTTACATGTTTCACATAGAAATTTTCTGGCCTAAATAAATAACTTGTAAATAAATAACTTGTAAATAATACATACAAAATGGTTTCAATCTCCCATGAGTAGGTACACACGATTAATGGGATTTTGGAGTATCTGCTTTGCAGCAGTGCAGATGGTAAAATGTTATGCCTGGCTTTGAAAAATGCTATCCTCGATTTGGGGAAAGTTAGATTTCTTTTAGATATTTTGCTGGTTTCCAATTTTTGCCCTGTTGGGCCAACCTATTAACTTTGGCCTAAAACTCCACATCTTTCTGGTGAGCAGTTGTTTGGTTTAGTCATTCTCTTAAAAAAATTAGTAGTATGGAAAATTCATATAATGCCAACTTTTGCTCTACAGCCTTTCCAGGGAGAAGGGAAATTGTCTGTTAAAACTAGAGAGGTCATCCAAATGGAAATTGGATTTTTAGCCAATAGTATCATCATCCTATCTCAAACATTAATTGGGCATTTGCTGTTCTATCGGGTGCAGTGAGGATTGATCTTCAAATTTTTGTTTACACTGATTCCAGTGCATTATTCTACAATATTCTTCTATAAATTCCAATTTATGTATCATACAGGATTGAGCCAATGCCTTGGCCTGAAAACATTTTAATGCTGCAGGGATTAACTGGTTTCTACTTGTGTAGAAGAAGCACTTAACAGCACTTGAAAATCTAAGTAGTATCTGCACTGTGTGATTTTGGTGTGTATTCCAGATGCCTTTAGAGTGAGTAACTACCTCACCTCTATTTTTTGCCCTCCTATTGTCCAGGATTATTGAGTTGTTCTCTTAGCAAAGACCACAATTTTAGATTTTTCAGAATTATATCCAGGTAATTTTGCTGCAGTATCAAAATATTGCTGCTATTGCTAGTTTCAGCTCTATATATGTTTGGGAAATTAGGGTGGCATTATCAGCATAGAGAACTGTAGGGATTGCGCACCTGTTGACAGTTGAGTTTTTTAATTTTTACCAAAGGGAATTTCTGGAAACTGAGTCAAAGGTATACTTAAAATCTCAAAAGGCCATGAAGAGGGAGTATTTCTTCTTATGGATGTATTTTTTTACAAAATGGAACCCACCACTGGGATCTATAATCTGACAGAAGCCACTTGGGAACAATGACATACATCATCTAAATTTTTTAGAGAACAAGGTTCTTGATGAAATTTTCCAGCATAATAATGGGAGGATACTCAAACACAATTTGTTTCTAAAATGATAAATACCTGAGTAAGACTGGAAAATCCAAGATTTCTACATCCATTACAAGGTGTCAGTGCTTCCCACAAACCTGTAGGTCCACAACTATTTTCAATTCCACCCTCTTCTTCCTCTTCTGCTTGTTCCAGATTTGTGGAAGATGATCTCTGAGGACAGAGTAAAGTGAATATGAATACTATGGAATTATATAATTTTTACATCTAAAGGAAATATATCAATTAAAACAGGTCACATTGAACTAAAATTCAATATAATTCCACCTAAAATTATTCTCAGTAATGTTACATATTAACATGGTGATTATGCATTTGCAATAAATTAGAAATTGCTGCCTTCTATAAGTGAATATTGTATTAAAATAATCATTTCTGGAAATTCCTATGTTGTCCTTATCATTTCTTGAACTCCTGCTTCATTTTTTATTATTTAATTCAACATGCTACTTTCTGAACTCTTTGAATTTCTTTCACTTCATTGAATACTGTAATGCACCAAATTTCCATAAACCATTAACTGATTCTTTTTTATTATCTTAAACAACATTAGTGACCAACTTTTTTACAATGAGGAGGACACAAATAAATTGAAGAAAAAAATATTGTAAATAAAACATTTTATTCATTGAAACAATACAGAATACACTATAATATGATAAATGCATAATAAAAAACATTTGTAACAATAACATTTTATATTGTAATTATGCTTACATGCCTATTAATTATTATTTAAATGAGTACAAAAGAAAGACTGTCCTCCCTAAAGGAGGATGATTGGTCACCTTAACATTAGCATCATTTTTAAAAAATAAATTGATTATGGCTTCCTGAATGCATATGGCTGTTTAATAATTTATGGCATTAGCTATATTATAGCATTAAATCTCTAGCCCAGAGGTTTAAAGATCAACACTACCTCCCCCGACATACCTATTATGTCTGGTAGTACATGCTAGGGTGAGCTTACCATTGCCTACTGTTCCCAGAGGCTTTCCGTACAGGAAAGATTACACAGCTCATAGGAGACTATCAATGCATGGTATTTAGGGCCCATTTATCAGGAATCCTTTTGGATTCATGCTGCACCAAAACCTGCCAGCTCTCTTAATAACTTAACCAAGAAACATACATTTGGAAGATCCTTCTATTGTATAAAATGGCTGATGCTCTTCTTTACTGAACCATACTGCCATCTACTGGAAGATCAATACCTAAAAATAAAATCTAGCTATTGTAATGTTTTAATTAAAATTTAGTTTTAGTCATAGGTTTGTTGTCAAATTTAGACATAATTAAATACTTTTGTTTAATGATTTTTAATGATATGTGATTTGTACAGAAAAACGATAGAATTCACTAGAATGCTGCAAATTGTTCCACAGAGAAAAATAGGCTTTGAGTTATTACTTGCTATAGTTACATCAGTGTCAATTTAAGACCTATGAGAATGGCTTGAAATATCTTTTCTAAAGGAAAATGATAAGTAAAGGAGTTTAATCAAAAGAAAAGATGGATAGAATTTACAAAATTATAAAAACAAAACAAAACAAATGGGCAGTAAGTTCCCAGAAAGTAGTTGGGGGAAAAAACCCTTATCTAATATAATGATTTCGGAGAGATATAGAAGAATCTTGATTTGCAGCTGCCACTTCAATTTATTATAACCTTTTTAATTATATTATTTTATGCAGCATATAAATATTTTAATATACAACATATGAAAAAGAATTAAATAATATTGTTAATCACTAGAATTGAAACTATACTCTTTCTCACTTACTATATTAGACTTGGCTCTGTTTCCATTTGCTACTACTTCTTCTTCTGATACTTTGCTAGCATCATCCAGATAATCATCTGATATAGTATGGCTCGTATCTTCTAAATAATCTTTTTCTTGGCAGAGCTTGATTTCATCTAATAGTTTTGATAATTCACCAGTCACAGCTTCACCTTTACAAGAACCAAAATATAATAATCAGTCACTAGTAAAAGAAATAAGTCAATATAAGTTTCAAAGTATGTTCTTTTTAGTGTAATCCAAGAGCAGAAGCAGGTGAAGAGTTAATTTGATATTTAGCATGTTCCTTTTTCTCTTTTATGTAGATTAAATAAAGAATCTGTGTTATACTGATATTATTTGATGTAATATTACACACATCAAATGTGTGGGGACTAACATGATTAAATAATGTCATTCTGTAGAATACATTTGAGTTATACAGATATGAGGGGAATTTGGAAATAAACCTCCATTTGGTTATCAATGATAGACACTCGCAGATACAGAACTTTTATTATACACATTAGAAAATTACAACATTACATTAATTTTTGACACAACTGCCATTCATACTGAGGCACTTGTCATAAGGTCTTGCAACAGAAATGTCAAACACAAGGCCCAGGGGCCGGATGCGGCCCGCGAAGTGGTTTCATGTGGCCCGCGAAGCCATCCTGGAAACAGTGAGGGAACGGCTCCCGCTGCCTTTGGCCTTGGCCCAGGCCGGCCGGGACCCAATGTACAATTTTTGTGGTGGCCATCTATGCTGAAATGCATTCAGTCTTTGCTCCACAAGGCCATCCAGAAACAGCGAGGAACCAGCCTCTGCTGTGTTGCCCCTGCCCCCTTGGTGCATGTTCAGGAGGTGTCACCCTTTGTGAGGAATGAAGAAATGCATCATGCCTTGGCGCTTGCCATGGTCCCACCCCCTTCTGCCAGAGACCCTCAGATCCGCCCCACTTCTGCCCAGACTCCCACAGGCATCCTTGATGCGAACGATGTAGAGCTGGCCATGCCCACCCAGCAGGCCACACCTACCCTGGCCACACCCACCCAGTCCCCCAAGGGCAATCGCAATGCTGATGTGGCCCTCAATGAAATTGAGTTTGACACCCCTATCTTACAAGGTTTGAAATTCCTTAGGAGTAATCACTTGGTGCCAAATCTGGGCTTGTCTGGGGCATGGGTTGTCTGAATTTTCGTAACGTTTCACAGTAAACTTCTGAACTATGGTCGAACCACGCTCCATGAACTTCACTAGCATCCTTTGGCATCTTCACAGTTGGGATTTTCTATGGCATCACTTCCAGTGTGGTGTTGGTTCATGATAATGCTCGCCTGTACCACCACTAGACACACCCAAGAACTTTTGAAGCAGTTCTGTTGGGATGTTTTTGATTCCACCATACATGCTTATGGTGGTTGAGTGTAATGTGGATGTTGCTCAGTTGTTAATTTTAAATATTCAATTTTAAATCAATATTCATTTTTTCTGTAAATTAAATTTTCAGAAATCCATTTGAAAAATATTTTTTTCATTAAAATACTACTTTATTACCATTATTTGGTATTTCTATATGGATTTGGCATTTTTGGAATCATTTAAAAATAATTACAAAGCTCTCACATTACTATATGGATCAATAAGCAAATTGGGGATCCAAAATGGAACTATTGAATTATGACAAGTTTCAGGCTGAACTGCCCATTTCCTGCTTTTTTCAAATATATAGAGATAGTGTATTTATCACAATATTGTAGATTTTAATGTTTCATTGTTGTCAATTATTTTCTTTAAAAACAGTTGTTTTATTACTAACAATTATATTCAAAAATTATTTTCAAAAATGTGTAAAATATATTTCACTATAAGTTCAAAGGGAGGCAGATATGGAATTTGAGTTATTGGATTTTCCTTTGCTCATCCTCACTCTTCTGCCAAACATAATTACAATCTCAGGATTTAAAATAGCTCTTGTGTGATTTGTATAGATTGGTTATTGATGCTATCAAGTCAATAACTACTCTTAGCAACCACATAGACAGATTTTTCCTTATTACAATCTGTCCCTAACCTGTTCTTTCAGGTCTTTTAATGGTGCATTCATCACCACTGTAACTGAGTCTATTCACTTTACTGCTGGGCATCCTCTTCTCTTTCTTCCCTCTTTCCAAGCATTAGAGTCTTCTCCTCCAAGCTAGGTCTTCTCATAATGTGTCCAAAATAAGATAATTTGACCTTGGTCATTTATTCCACTAATAACACTAGTGAGAATTCTGAATATATTTGTTCTATGATCTATTTGTTTGTTTTCTTGGTTTTCCATGGTATTCTCAGGAGTTTTCTCCCGCACCAAATTTCAAAGGCATCAATACTCTTCCTATCTTGCTTTTTCAAACTCCAACTTTTGCTTCCATCGACTGTCACAAAGAACACCACTGCTTGCATTATTCAGATCTTTGTAAGTTTAGACACATCAAAGCATATACATATCTTTTCTAACACCTGCCTGACCAAGTACTAGTCTATAGAGTATTTCTCAACTGCGTGTTACTTTACTATTCACCACTTCAATATCTTCATTGTCAGTTTTAAGATTGGTTTTTGTACCTATTATCACTAGTTTGATCTCATTTATATTTTAGTCCCAATTTCAGCTATTAAAGCAGCATAGTCAAAGTTATCAATTTTCTTCTTCTAAAATCACACTTGTCTTCTTCCAATTCAACTTCCCATAAAACATTTAGACTGAATAAATAAGGGAAGAATATTCAGCCTCGTTGTGCTGTTTGGGCAACCTGAAGCCAGTTTTTTTACCATGTTCTGTCTATATTAAGACCTCCTGACCTGTATATAACTTTCTCGTATGAACAATGAAATGTTCCATGATTTCCATTTTATCTAAGCATATTCCCCAGCTTGACATGATCAGTTGAAGCCCTTTTTTATAATGAAGCACATACTGATTTCTCTTTAATGTTCTTTGGCTTCCTCAGTTATCCAGCATACATCAGCATTAATGTCCCATGTTCCTCAGCTTTTTCTAAAGCGATCTTGAACACCTGGCAAAATCAGGGCTCTAATCTGTATTTGATGATCCTAAGCATTATTTTATTAGCATGTGAAATTCAGGATATTATACTATAGGTTACATTCTCTGCTAAGTCTTTTTTTTTTTTTTTTGGTATTGAAATGCACTGTATATTGACCTCTTCCAATCAATTGGCCATTGTGTTGTTCTCCAGGTTTATTGGCATAGATTGGTTTGAACTTCTACTGATTTTTCTTCTGTGCTTACTATATTTCTGTGGGTATTCCATCAATTCCTGTAGCATTCCAACTGGGTAATGATTGAAGTGCTGATCTAACTTTATTTTCTAGTACTAAAGTTTCTTATAAGTAGGAAACATATATTTAATATTGACATTAATACAGTACAACATTTCAGTATATTCCTTCCATCTTTGTTTGACCTCCTTTGAATCAATTACTATTTGTCTACTGATGTTTTTCAGAAAACTCCTTTTGAGTTCAGAGGTCTTTGAAAGATTTTCTTGTTTTTCCACATGTTTCCATCTTTGAAGTCATTGCATACATTGCTGGATAGGTATTTGGATCGTTTGCTTCATTTATCCTTTCTTCCAAAGCATTCAACATGCTTTTCTAGATTTATCCTTGTTTGGTGCTTTCTACTGTTTTTTTAAATTAATTTAACCATTTATTTTAAATTTTTAAACAGGCTATATTGATATTGATATAGCTATAAGAACTCTAAGAAGTGGGGAAAATGCTTTAAATTCTAGCTTTATAAACTATAACAAGTTTCTAACAAAATTTTGAGAAGATGGTTGGTACATGTCCAACGTGCACTAAATGTGTTGCCATAGCATACCCATTGTTAAAATGATACAGGAAAGACTGTGATGGTATAAACATCATTTTTTGTCTAAGTGAGAAAAGTTTGTTGTTTATATGGGAAGATTTTTAGTAGAAGTGTATGATAAATTAGGTCTACAACTTAACAAAATAAGGCACTTGGCAACCAGTAGTGATTAGTTAAAAGACTTAAAATATGCCTTAGAATATTTAAAACCCAATTATGTAATATATTTACAAAAATTAACATTTTATAAGCAAAGAAGAATATATTTAATTTTTTATTACTACATCTCTAGTAATTTGCAAAATAGGTACAATATCATATTGACTATGTTTTTGATTATTAACATTTGTTAATACATAACAAGCTACTGAGAATAGAATATTTACTTTTACTTGTTTGTATAGGAGACTCTTCTAGGGATAAAACACTGGATTGGTGATCTGATATTAAATATTCTTCTATGGATTCCTCTGGAACTTCTGAATTTTCTTTTTCTGTGTAATCTATGGTAAGAATACATCCCATAAATAAAATCTGAAAATTCATCTGACAATATTTTTGGAATTCTTCATATATTTTCATTTAATGTTCAGGTTGTATTTAAGTTATGTAGCTTATATTGGGCAATCATAATTCATACAGCCAATTCTATGATATTTCCTGATTTTAATGGGAATGAATTACAATTAAATATATCTACAACTGCATTCTTTCTGCACTAAATAAAATAAAACTTCATTTTAGTATAGTTAAATTTTCAAAGTTCTGTTACAGTATTATATCTATATAAACAAATGTTATGGGTAGTCCTTAACTTACAACAATTGAGAGTGGAAATTCTGTCACTAAGAGATGTGGATGTAAAGTGTGACCATGTCACCTAGCAATGGCAATTCCAGCAGTCCTAATTGCGACCATTAACCAACTCCCTCCATCATTAGGTGAGGAACTTCCTGTTGGCTTGCCACAACCAAAATCAGTGGGAAAACCAGCAGGAAGTTGCAAGTCACAGGCCAACGGGCAAGTAAGTAACTGCTATTGGGTGGAAGAAGGAGCAAGAGAGTATGAAATGCATGTAAGGTGCTACATAGGTCAGGTGCAGCAAGGGAGGATGCACGAAAGTGCAGAAAAGGCATGGTATGAGTCGGGGAGGATACACGAGGGTGCAACGGAGGGTTCAGGAGGGGTGTGTATATCCAAAGTTATGTGTAAGTGGGGCCACCTGGGTAAAGGAAGGTGTGTCAGAGTGTGAGGGAGTGCATGAGAGGTACTATGTGGATCAGGAAGAAGCAGGAAGGTTATGCAAGGATGTAAGAAAGGGTTGGGAAAGATGCAAGAAGGATTATTGGATCATTTTCTGCAGACCCACAAAGTTTTAAAGATAGGATTCTATAAGCCTGTTCATGCTTACTGGGGATCAAATCAGGATCCCTGACTAAAGGCAGCAAGTCATGTAAATATAGGGAGGTAGGATTACTTAAGCGTCCACAGCTCCTTCTTATTATCTCTGTATTTTTATGTTGGAATGCACATATAGAAGCTTTTTCTTAAAGTAAAATTAAATGGAGAACACATATCAGGTCATCCAGTATTGCCATTAATCAGCAATCTGCAATTTCATGATAACCAAGCAACAAAGAAAATAGAATATTAGATCTGAAAACTGAGTAATTTTCAGAACCTGTTAGAACTACTTAATTTTAAATATAAAATAACTAGGAGTTAGATTAGTACACTTTGGTACAGTTGTCTTGGAGAAGAGACTAAGGCAGATGCCAGACTGAATGCAACACTACTTGACAGCTCTAAAAGCTATGAAAATTATTATTATTTTAATGGATAAAATGAGCAAAAAGAAGTTAACTGTGTAGTGCAGAGGCACAAAAGCAGAGAAAGCAATACAGATCAAATCACTAAATGAAAAAGGATTGATATACAGAGATATAAAAAAAAAATACAAAATGTTAAGAGGCAAAAAGGTCCTAGAGTATACATTCTGGATCCAATAACATAGTTTAGGGTTGAATTGTGGAGTGCTTAGCGCTTTCTAGTTTGGTTGTTTGCTTGCAGATATTTTATTGCAATACTACTAGATAACATCATCAGTTCAACATGTATTGATGTTAGCTAGGCAGGTAATGAAAAATCTGCAAGCAAACAACTAAGGTCAGAAAGCACTTAGGATTCCACATGTTTGCAGTCATAACAAAATGGAGAGTAGATAAAAGAGCAGAAAACCTCAATTGTTTGTGACATTAAGGAATTGGAAAGGAAATGTTTATATACTGAGGCCGTTATGTTGATGCAGCTGTCCATAATTCTGAAGCAGCAGGAGATTCTCCAGCCTTCTATCCAGTAGTGGGATTCAGCCAGTTCATACCACTTTGGCAGAACCGGTAGCCAATTTTTTGTTGCCCGGGCCCAGAATGGACTTCCGGAAGCGGCATCCACACAGAGAACCAGTGGTTCACATATTTTAATCTTACCACTGCTTCTATCTGCATGGCTTGCACATTACTCCTTTCTCTTTTTCTACTATGTCTATTGGTTCAAGTTTCTATAGGTCACATGACTAGAATTGACAGAGGAGCTGTGGACCATGCACCAGCTCTGTGTTCTCCCATAAGTAATCCTTCAGCCATAATTCTAATCAATTAGATATTGAAGTCCTTTCCAAAAGATTTGAGAGTAAAAGACATCAGTTAATTCAAATTCTATTTGATAATCCTGGAAGCAAAATCCACCAGACAGAGATAATGATCAAATCCAAGGGGGATTATCCCAAACGGGATTAGCAGATTTATTATAGAATAGGAAGCCTATGGTAATCCCAAATCACATTTAGCATAAAACGTCTTAGGATATTTTCATAATCAGTTGAATTTTTAGACCAGGGCTAAGAGCAACTAAGGATTAACACTCACTGGAAATGTGAAAATGCTGAGCCTACGGTAGAATGAAAAGGAGTTGTAATTATTCTGTTCAAATGAGAAAACATATTTTTATTGATATGTTAGCATGAGCCAGCACTATTCCAATAGGAAAGTATTCAGAACTGGAGCCAGTGATAATGTTTATATGACAATTTCAAAAACTGAAATCAGTCAACAACCAAAATAGGGCTTGCTCCCAAAGCAAGGTTTAAGACACGGTTGAACAATTACATTGTAATTATAGAATAACATTTTAGAAATAATCATAATATCTGGTGATCCTAATCCAAACAAAAGCAAAACAGATCATACATGTTAGAAGTCATAGATGAAAACCGTTAAAAAAGATAAAGAGGAAAATAAACAAAAAGAATGAAGAAACTACAGAATCCAATAGTGCATGGAGAAAGAAGAGTTGGAGAGTTTTTATGATATTGTGGTAGTAAAAGAGAAACTGAAGTATTTGACAGATTCTGTAGATAGCATAGAGTAGTCCTGTCCCAAAAGCTCACTTTCAAATCTACTGAAACAGTAGTTTGCAAAGGCATAAATACTCACAGAAACCACAAAAACAATCATAAAGTAAATCTTCATCTCCTGCAAAGCCTAACCCCCAGAAAGCAACAGAAAACACACAACTCTTCAGGGTGAGAAGATTGGGGGAATCATACATATATTTGATAAGTATACCAAAATATTTTGAATGTGTCTTTGAGTTTATCTTGACTCCTAGCAATGCCTAGACAATTCCATAATGTTTTCTTGGAAACATTTTTGGGATTTGCCATTGCCCTTTTCCTATAGAAAGACTGGACTAAAGTCATCCAATTGGCTTCATTGACTGGAATTCAAGATCTCCTGGTTTCTAGCCTGGAACTTTAAAACCACCAAACAGAACAGACTCTTAAGCAAACATATTTCTATTTTAATTTTAACAATATAAACATGTACCAAATATGTCTATGTGGTAATTTTAATATACAACATGAAAATAAAAATAATACAAATAAAATTGAGATTTTTGTAGTTTAATCATTTTTATAAGGCTTACATACTATTACTGACTGACCTTGAAGCAATGTAGCAATTTGGAGTGACTGTTGTGATGGATGTTCTTTCAAAATATCTAAAACTGTTTTGCCTAAGTTGTCCTTTATATTGGCATCAATTCCTGAAATAAATATGCAGAATAGAAAACAGGAAAAAAAGGGATATAATATGGAACATTTAAGATTCCAATCCTAAAACCCAAATTTTCTGCCTAGATAGTGAGAGAATTAATTTAACGGACAGATAGATCTCTCCTGTTAGTCCAAACCTGTGCTTGGTACGCATTGCTGTTTTTGCCAGCAACAGGCCTTGAATATCTAAGCCACTTGGTTTCCTATATTCAGTCCTATCAGGTGGGATCTGTTCTCAGTATTTTCCCTTGCATTAAAATCAACTGGTTGGTTATTCAAGCAGTACTGTCAGTAATTTAAGAAAAATAAACTATTAATATGCATTCACAGAAACACAAAAACAGATTAAAAACATATATCATTCAGCTCTACCCAAGCTAAACTAGCAAGACTTTGGAATTGTTGGATAAATATCCTTCCCATCTGCTCTATATTATTCTGAGGTAAATGTTTTCTAGAACATAAATACTTCAAGCCCAATTATTTAATTAAAAGGCAACTACACTGAAAACATACTTTTTGATTAATGCACATATAATCATGTTAGCCTTCTCAAAATTTTATATTATGAACTATATAAATGCCAATGCCTAAGAAATTTAATTATTCTATTGTTTTAAGTCACCTAAGACATACTGTAACCAATTCAACAGCCTTGGTATATGCAGTTGTACCCCTTGTAAGATCAGCAACCCTTCATAGTCATTCAGATCCTGGTCACCTCAGGATTTGATTACTGCAACATGCTCTATTTGAGCTGCCCTTGAAGACCACCCAGAAGCTTCACTGGTTCAGAATCCAGCAGTGCAGGCAATGATGGGCATGCCTTGTTGTTATTATTATTGTTATTGTTACATAGTCAATATGCATAGTCAGCAGACATACTCCTGCCATAAATACTCCTGCCTCCTATTTACCCAGCTGGCTTTCCTGTCTAAGGGAGTCTAGGTCAGCATTAGGCCAAACTGGCCATGTAATAAGTTTGCTTCATGAGTTGCACTGGTTGCCAGTTTGCTTCTGGATATGACTGAAGTGCTGGTTGCTACTTATAAAGCCTTATATGGCATAGGGTCTGATTACATGAAGGACCATCTGTCTCCCATAGTATCTGCCTTCCTAGTCCGATCGGACAGGGTTGAAACATTCTGGTTTCATTTGCTTAAATAATGCCATCTACCAAAACTCAAAGCACAGCTTCTTTGTAGCAGCACTTGCTTTATAGAATGAGATTCCCCCTGAGATTTGAATGACACCCACTCTAATAAAGTTTCAAAGGGCCTGAAGATCTAGTTCTTTATGCAAGACTTTGGAAAGTGTGACTGAAACCCTCTTTACTTGTTTTTCTTTGTTTCCATCCAGGTTTGTTATCTCTACCATCTTTGATTTATGTGTGTGAATGTTGTTTTTTTGTGACAATATTTAACCATTTCAAGCTATCCAGTGCCACTGAGAGTCAAGTGGTATATATATTTAATAAATAAACCAATTATTCCTAATCTCTAATTCCTATTTGATTTAAGAAGAAGAAAAAATCCTGTATAACTGTATGAGAATCAGGCCATTGTATAAGAGGTCAGTTGGAACTGGGTAAAAACTAAAAACTGGTTTCAAAGAAGTTTAAATAGCATTTTTTAACATTTTAAAATAACTAAAAATCAGTTGATTTACCTGTTTCTAAAAGAATGCGTACAACATCTACTTTTCCAAATAAAGCTGCTTCATGTAATGCACTCCCCTTTTCTGTCTAGAAAAAGAAAACATTAATAAAAATAATAATCTAATTATGACAATCAGAAATAACGTTCATGATCAACATTAACTAAAGAGGTATCATTGACTGAGGTTTAATAAATAATAACACAAACTCTGGAATATGGCCCATGAGAATCAATAAAATGGAACGATAATATCAATATTCATGAATACCTCATTCAAAACATGAATCATCAACTGCTTCACTGATACCTGATTTTTAACACTACTTATGTTGTGGTAAACAACTTTTTGATGCCAACCATCGCGTTTAACAATAAGATATAATGCCAAATAGAAAATGGCAGGTTCTTAAAGAGATGGCTATTTTTTTCTTTTTAAAAAACTATGTTAAACTTACTTTAAGAGCTTTGTAAGACAGAGAAAGGGTGTGAGTGGACAACATGTACAGACAGACAGACAGTACTTTTGTTTTGGATATTTTTTAATAAAGTTTGATAATATAATTTCCTATTTTTGAATGAGAAGAACTGCCTGAATGAAAGGAAGACATGAAAAGCAGTATGTCAACACTTTCATGTACTAACATTCAGACTTTCTGCCATAGAGAGCAAAATGAAATGGAAGTAATTGAACTTAGAACAGAAATTGTACATAAACATTCTACACCAGTGGTGGCGAACCTATGGCACGGGTGCTAGAGGCAGCACTCGGAGCCCTCTGTGTGGGTACACATGCTGTTGCCCCAGCCTTGCCTCCCCTGTGACCCCCTCCTCTCCAGTAGCCCCCCTGAAAGAGAGTCGCCCCCGAGCGTGGCCTACATGGAGCAGCCCAGCCAAGGACATGGCAGCCAGGCAGAGTAGACAAGACTCTGCCCTCACACCCCATCATGCAGTTGATGCTGTAGGGTGCGGGCAGAGGGTGTGGCCACCATAGCGCTGCTGGGCTGCCTGGACGATCTGCGGCGGGCCCTGGAGGCGGTGAGGGTCCTGTGGGAAGGTGGGGTGGGGGATGGGGGGCAGAGCGGGGCAGGGCAGGGGGTGGAGCAGGGGTGGGGCCAGTTTTTGGGCACTCGGTCTCTAAAAGGTTTGCCATCACTGTTCTACACCATCAACTTTCCTTCTATGGCTCCCTTCCCTGACTGGTCATGCAGCAGAATCTAATCAAGCTCTATTGTAGTTTTTTTTTTTTTTTTAAATGCAGTAGTCCACTTCTTACTCAAACTACTATAGATGGTTTCTTTTTTATTATTTGTAACATAAATTGCCTTAACCTTATGATGCTTACTGTTATGTCCTGAGCCTTGCAAGCGGGCTCGGGGCGTTGCAGGCGGTCCCGGGCAGGTGCAAGCTGTCGCCAGTGCTTGTGCGCATGCGCAAGTGCTGGCGCGCGAAAAGTAACACATTGACCCGGGAAAGTCCTATAAAAGGAGGCTGCGAGTTGTGGGCTTTTGCCGCCATATTCCAATGTAAGCTGAACTGAAGAATAAAGGTTTCCTGAGAACTACAACTGCTTCTCGTGTCTTACCATTTCGCGACGGACTCAACACTGGCGACGAAGGTGGGATTGCCTTACATCGAAAAGAGAAGGTGTAAGCTTACCCGAGTGAGTCCGGAGCGGCAGGAACGGCGTTGACTCGGCAGCTACCCGCCAATCCAGCGTGCATTCGGGGGTAGGCTGACTGATAGACCCTTCCTGATACGAAATGGCGAAGATTGGAAGGCTTTCGGAATTCGATGTCTCACATCCAGAGAGGTGGGAGTCCTACGTAGCCAGGGTGGAAAACTACCTCAAAGTGAACCAGGTGAGGGAAGAGAGCTTGAAGGCTGCCACCCTGTTGTGCATTTGCAGTCAAGACGCATTCGAAATCGCCGAGAACCTTGCAGCACCTGTTCCTTTAGAGTCTGTCAGCTACGCAGATCTAAAGAAGCTACTGAAGGAGCACTTCCAACCCAAGATGTCTGTCATCGCGTGGCGCCACACCTTTGAGCAGAGGGATCAACGACCCGGAGAATCAGCCAAGGAGTACATCGCCACACTGAGGAAAGCCGCCAAACATTGCGAGTTCAAGGACCTCGAAGAACGACTGAGGGACCGATTTGTGTGCGGGCTAAGGCATCGAGAGTTGCAACAGAGACTTTTTGCCAAGGAGGACTTGTCTTTCCAAGATGCCTTGAGAGAGGTCACCGCAGAAGAAGCAGCGGGCGGCGCCATCAAGAACATGCGGCCGATCAGAAACAGTCCAGATGCTGCATCCGTGCACCAGGAAGAAGTCCAAAGGAACTCCAAGGAGGATCCGGACGAGGAAGTGGACCGTCTCCACCCCACAAAGGAAGGAAAACCAAGAGGAAGCTCTTCAGCTCTCCCCAAGTGCCTCGGTTGTGGAGGTCGCCACAAGAGAGCCGACTGCAAGTTCCGCTCCGCTATCTGCCGGGCGTGCGGAAAACAAGGACACATTGCAGCTGTGTGCCTGGGCCGTCAGAAGGTACAACCTCAGGAAGAATTGCGCCTGAAAGGTACCAGGGTCCCCAGCCAGAATAGGGTGGGGTTTTGCGCTTCGCGAAGAAGCATCTACAGGACAGGCACACACAAGCCCATTAAGAAAAAGCTGTCACTTAAGGTGAAGCTACAAGAGGGTTCCATTAACTATGGAACTGGACACGGGGTCTGCACTTTCGATCATTTCTATGCACACATTTAGGAAGATTTGTTCCGGCAGCGGAACCCAGGCCAAGTTGAGGCCTTCTGACATTGTGCTAACGGATTTTCAAAACTCCAGAGTGTGTGTTAAGGGGGAGGCCACCCTTAACGTACAGTATAAGGATTTTGAGGGTCCACTAGACCTACTAGTAGTAGAGGGTGAACGAACGAGTCTCATAGGACTCGAGTGGTTTGAGGCCTTGGGGATACACATCACAGGGCTCAACAGCCTACAAACACTCGACCTACAGGAAGTCTGCAAAGAATTTGCAGACGTTTTCAGCCCCCAGCTGGGCACATTCCAAGGACCCCCTGTGTCATTAAAGTTAGACCCCACTGTCACTCCCATTAGAATTAAAGCAAGAAGGGTCCCTTTTGCTTTAAAGAGTAAAATTGACACTGAGTTGGACAAACTGATCCAACAAGGAATTCTAGAACCTGTTGACTCCAGTCCATGGGAGACCCCCATTGTCACGCCTCTTAAGGCAAATGGGGACATTCGCATCTGTGCTGATTAGAAATGCACTCTAAATAAGGCATTGCAGCAACATGCCTATCCTGTTCCTGTGGTCAATTATATCCTGGCCTCCCTCAAGAGGGGGCGCGTTTTTGCAAAGCTTGACCTAGCTCAAGCATATCAACAGCTGCCTGTTGATGATGACGCTGCTATAGCTCAGACTATTGTGACCCACAGAGGGGCTTTCAAGGTAAAGAGACTTCAATTTGGAGTAAATGTCGCTCCTGGGATTTTCCAAAGCGTAATGGAAAACACACTACGGGGTATACCAGGGGTTTGCCCCTATTTTGATGATGTCTTAATTGCAGGAGACTCCACACACATTCTAGCTGAAAGGCTAAGGGCTGTCCTATTAAGGTTCAGGAAAACGGGACTCAAACTCAAGAAGGACAAATGTAAAATTGGGGTGCCTTCTACTGAGTTTCTGGGGTTCAAAATTGATGCTGCTGGGATTCATCCTGCTGAATCCAAACTAAAAGCCATTATGCAAGCCCCTAGGCCAAAGTCTAAGGCCGAACTACAGGCTTTTCTGGGCCTTCTGAATTTCTACAATTCCTTTCTTCCACATAAGGCTAGTGTAGCTGAGCCTCTTCACAGGCTATTAGACAAACAGGCAGTGTGGCAGTGGTCTCAAACACATGAGGCTAGTTTCAATGAGGTCAAGGCCTTGCTCACTTCTAACAGTGTACTTGCTCACTTCAATGAGTCCCTTCCTGTGTGCATCGCTTGTGATGCTTCCCCTTATGGGGTGGGTGCTGTACTGAGCCACCTCAGGGCTGATGGAACTCAGGTTCCTGTTGCATATTACTCCAGGACATTGTCTTCAGCTGAGCGCAACTATGCTCAAATAGACAGGGAGGCCTTAGCTGTTGTTGCTGGAATTAAAAAATTCCATGATTTTTTGTATGGAAGGCATTTTACGGTCTTCACTGACCATAAGCCTTTGTTGGGACTGTTTACCACACGTAAACAAACTCCCCAAATCATCTCCCCAGGATGCTCAGGTGGTCTATCTTTTTGTCTGCATATGATTTTTCCCTACTTCACAAGCCTGGAAAGGAAATGGGCCATGCTGATGGCCTCAGTAGATTACCCCTGCCGGTAATAGAGGCTGACCCCGCGCCAGCCATCAATATTCTCTCCATTCAAGCCTTGCCCGAGTCCCCCCTGAATGCCAGGGATGTAGCCGCTGAATCAGGCACAGATCATACACTCTCACGTGTCCTTTCTTGGGTTTTGTCTGGATGGCCTGAGCACTGTCCTAGTCCTGAGTTTCAGAGTTTCTGGTCTAAAAGGAACGAGTTGTCCACCTCTCAGGGTTGTCTGCTTTGGGGAAGCAGAGTTGTCATTCCCACCTCAATGAGGACTAGGGTCTTAGATTCCCTCCACGAGGGTCATCCTGGCATTGTACGAATAAAGGCTCTTGCACGCAGCCACTTGTGGTGGCCAGGTGTAGACAAAGACATAGAAGCTAAGGTGCATGCTTGCCACCTTTGTCAACGCTCACGCCCTGAAATGCCCCAAGCTCCTGTGCATAGATGGGAGGAAACACAGTCTCCATGGTCTAGGGTGCACATTGACTACGCTGGGCCCTTTCAGGGTCAATTCTTCTTGGTCCTCGTTGACAGCCATTCAAAATGGCTTGAGGTTGTACCTGTCTCTTCCACCACCACTGCAAAGACTATTCAGGTACTGAGGGGGATTTTTGCTGCACACGGGCTCCCAGACATCATTGTGTCTGACAACAGCCCTCAATTCACTTCCTCCGAATTCCAAGCTTTCTTGCAGGCTAACATGATTCGTCATGCCACTTC